CATATGTACAGTAAAACCTCTATAAACTAAGAATATTGGGGTTTTGAAATTTTATTAATTTACAGAGATATTAATTAACAAATATTTTACATAGATTTCTTATTTTAAAATGATCTTTTTCTAAAATAAGAAAATATTTGATTTTAGTGCATAAATATTTATTATTATTTTTTGAAAATTTTGACATTTATATAAATTTATTATATTAATTTACGTATACAATAGGGATATATATTGCATAGTTACTAAATATGATTTTAGACATAATATTACCAAATCTCATCAAAAATATAATAAGTGTTACAAAAATATTAAAAAAAAGATTTCTATTGTGAATATAAAACAACCAATCTAATGATATGTTATTATTTATATAAAATATGTATACATATAATTATTAATTTATAATTTTAATGGGACCATATATTTACCTAATTTTTTTTTTTAAAAAATATTATCTTATTATTTAATCGATTTCTATCAAATTTTGAACCAGTCCAAATTAGAACCGACAAAATTTATTAATTTATAGAAATTATTAATTTATAAAATATTAATTTATAGAGGTTCTATTGTATTTGTTTCTTTGTAATTTATAGAGGTTCTATTGTAATATTAATCTTTTTTATCTTTTGACTTTTATTTTATTCTAATTTTTTCACATTTTCATGGTAAAAAATTTATGGAAACAATTACATAATCAACTTCTTCATTTTGTTCTTCTTTTACCATTAAAATTATTGTTTCCAGATTTTCTATTGAATTTTTTTTGTCTTTACAATTATTTTTCTGTTAAAGAAAGAAAAAAAATGAGATTGAAAATTGTGGGGTCTATTTAGTTAGAAGAGTAAACATAATTGGCTTGTGGTTAGAAAAAACTACCTTAGAAGCAACAACTGCATTATGTTGTATTAAAAAAACTTAAAACTGGCCCTAGAAAATAACTCAATTTTATGGGAGGAGATGAACTGTGTCACATCTTCTATTTGACACATGTCATCCTCTCTTATCACATTATTTATAGAATTTTTTTTTCTGGTAATACAATATTTATAAATTTGCTTTGAAATTGGTACTTCTCCAAGATTTTGTAGTCAGGTAAATTACAATGTCTTTCTATCCAACTTTATTGTGGTTTTGGTATTTATTCTCTGTGAAAAGTTGATAAGAGTCGAAAACTATCATTATATAAGCTTCTTTTCTCGGATATATGTCCAAAGCTGTTTCCAAATTCTATTGAGAGAGAGAGACAAACACACACATCGTTTCACACATCTTTAAATTTCTGTTTAATGTAACCCTTTAATATAAAAATTTCTGTATGAGAGAAAGATGGGTTATATTTTAGGGGAAATTTGGGGAAATACACTCATACAAGATTATAATTTAAAAATTACACTATTATTTAAGTTTTTAGAAAAATATACTTATGTATATATAAATTTACCAAATTACCCAATCATAATATTTCTCAATTTCTAATATAGACGTAAGCAAGAAAACAAAAATAAGCAGAACAGTGTGCATACACGTTATGCTGGCAATAATCAAAATATGTGCATTCTAATATATTTAAATAGAAGACATTAGCAAAGATGTCTTTGCCAGTTATTGTTGAAGCCACAACAATATATAGCACCTCTGCTTCTGATAATTAGAAATTTTGGAACCACTATTCTCCAAAATGACTTCAGAAAATGATGATAAAAAGAAGAAATCCTAGTTCCAACTACTAGTTATTATATTTTCCTTCAGCAATTTATCATGTAGTCTAAATCATCCCGTACCATGAGGTCTTTGCACAACCCTCAGAGAGTGACCGCATCCCAACAGTCCAATATTACTGATTTCACATACTAAAAGGAACAGTATTAAAAAACTATCGATGCTTTCTATATGCTATGAAATACAAACTCCCAATTCAAACAAATAACAGCACTAGAAACACGGCTACAACATATTATGTTCTAATGTTAACATGAAAATTGCTCTCTTTCTCTCTCTGTTCTTGAACTACTGATGGTTTTTTCCTATAATTATAGTTTTGGTACAAGTTTTGGTATACCCCTATGTTCGATTATAAAAACTAAGAAATAAGCACAATGATTCATGAATTAACTAAAAAACATAAATAATTATAATATTTTTATTAACTAGGTGTTGTGCCCGCATATGCGGGCATAATTCTCTTACGAATATTTATTATTTTTTATTTTATTAATTTTAAAATAATATTATAAGTTATTTTCTATAGTTTTAAAAATCCTAAATCAAACATTAAAATATTTTTATATGATTTTTCATCAAAATCTATATGCTTATTATAGCGCTGAAAAACATCCACATAATAAAATATTTTTGAAAATATATTTATATTTTTTTTCTTAATATTTAATTTTAAATTGTTTTATAACTTACATTTTTATTTTTCACAATAAAAAATATTATTTTCAGATAATTGTATAATATTCTATAAGATATCTTATGTTTTAAATATGCATGAATATGGATAATTATCCTATTAATTTATAATAAATTAACCAATATAATAACATACTGTACTTATCTAATTTTATTTTTTAAATTTCGTTTTAATTATAAAATTAGTTATATATAAAAATTTCATTAAGGGTAAAATAGATATTAACCGCTCTAACTTTTAACGTGAGAGCTCCGTTGCGAAAAATCACTTCGCAAATAATAGTATAGTATATTTTATAAACTTTATGTATGATAAATAAATAATAAATGTGCAGAAAAATAAATAAAATAAATATAATTTTAAGCATAGATTTTATTAATATTAAAACTATTATTTTTATTAAAGAACTTATATATCGCGAACGCAAACTTTTATTTCTTAGTAACAACAATAACAATAAATGAGGACTGATAAATCAGATACAAAGACAATAATAATGAGAATAGGAAAATTCAAAACGTTGAAAGTGACAAAGTCTTCACAATGCGACACACAGGAGGGAGAGCGACGTTCACAAAGTCACACTCATGATCCGACCTGCATTAGTCAAGTAACCTTCATCATCAATGGCTCCCAAATGGTGCAAATCGTACCAGCCCCGAAGGTAGGCCGGAGGATGAGGAAAATCAACAAAATCGAAGTCAAACAACAAGTCATGCACACCCAGCTGTTTCAAGGTAAGAAACGTGTTTGCCAAGTTTGATCTCAACATGTGGGGATATGGCTGCCTCTGAACAAACTCATTGTAACGCTCCTCTGAGTAAAGCCTGAAACATTTGCCAGGCCGTGTTCTCCCGGCACGACCTGCTCTCTGGTCAGCACTTGCTCGTGATATTGGGGACAGCGTCATGTACTCGTGGCAAATGTTTGGGAGGTAGACTTTCTGCACGGAGAGACCAGGATCAACCACGTAAACAATCGGGTCAATGGCTAAAGAAGCCTCCGCAATGCTGGTGGAGACAACAATCTTCCTCCTCACATCATCAAATATATTATTATTAATATTATTATGTTGTTGCAAGGCAGGAGGAAGAGTGGTGGAATAGAGTGGCAAAACGTTGACTTGGTCATCAAGTAATCTAGTGGAGATCCTTGTGCAAGCGTCTTCAATCTCTTCCTCAGAGGCTAAGAAAACAAGGACGTCACCAGGTGGCTCACACTTGTGAATCTGAACTACAGTGCGTATAGCAGCTTCGAGATAGTCCTCTGGAGGAGAAGCATACAAGATGTCAACTGAATGATGCCTACGTGGGGGAACTTTGATAAGAGTTGGTGCACACTTCCTAAAGCCACTAAAAAAACTTTTCAACTTGTGTGCTGCTCGGAAGGTAGCACTCATCACAACCAGAGTCAGATCAGGTCTTTCCAAATCCAAGACCCTATTAAGAAGGCCAATAAGCACATCAGTGGCCAAACTTCTTTCTTGAGCCTCGTCGAGAACAATGGCTCTGTATCTCCCAAAAACCGGATCTGCAATAGCTTCTCTCACAAGCATACCGTCTGTCATGTACTTGAGCACCGTTTGGGGGCTGGTGCGATCCTCCAATGGAACATTGTAACCGACCTCTTCCCCGATCTCGACACCCATCTCTTGGGCGACACGACGGGATACAGACATGGCTGCAGCTTCACAAGGTTGCGTGCACCCAATCAACCACCTAGGGCTAGGGTTAGGGTTAGGGTCTTCCAGCTTCAGTGCTTCCAACAGAAACTGTGGTATCTGCGTGGATTTGCCACACCCTCTCTCACCGAACAATATCACGATCTTGTTTTCTTTAAGGCTTCGTTGAAACTCTTCTTTGTGCTCCCACACTGCTAGGCTCTTCCGTTGCTCCTCCATCCCCTAGTTCTAACAGTTTTTTTCTTTTATTTCAGAGAGTATCCCCTAGATTTGTAGCGATACAGAGAGGAAGAGAAAAATTATAGATAGTTCGGTGAATTTTTGTGTTGTTAGAGGCAAAACTTCCCTATTTATAAAAGGCTCTCTTTCCTTTTCTTTTTTTTTCTTTCCTTTTTATGTTTAGTTTCCTTTTTTTTTTGTTTTTATAAATGGACAAAGAAATTTAAAACGGAAAATTTCGTGGACTCGCTTCTCTTTATTATGCTAACTAAATATTATTGGCTATCTTAAATTTTCTAGACTCAGCTTCTTTAAATATTTAACTAGAATTATTAGCTGTAATCTTTCCGTAAATGGTAATGTCATAAATAAATCAGAGTTTAAAAAGAGTTTTAAATTAACAAATAAACATATGTTCACGAACTACGGAGTGAGTTTATAAATAATTCAAATTAAAGGATGGTTTCTACAAATAAAAAGAAGTTGTCTGATCACGTGAAAACAAAAAAGAACAGAACACAGATGGTGATCAAACAACACGACACATATAAACCGAGTTAAACCTGTCTCCTTTCTCACCAATCAAAAATCACCACCGTGTTTCCACCGCAAAAACGAATGCAACTTGAGTTTCTCGGACACTCTCACTAGAGAGAGTAGAGAAGAAGAGTTACAATTATGGAGAGAATGGAGACGAGTAGAATCGTGAGGGTCACGCAAGATGGTTCAGGAGACTACTACTCCATTCAAGACGCAGTTGACTCGGTTCCTCTTGGAAACACGTGTCGTACCGTGATCCGTCTCTCACCAGGGATATACAGACAGCCTGTGTACGTGCCCAAGAGGAAAAACTTCATCACTTTCTCCGGAATCTCCCCTGAGATCACCGTTCTCACTTGTAACAATACTGCTTCAAACATCGAACATCACCAGGTTTTTTTCTGAAAACATTTCTAATTCTTGGCAGCAACACGTGTATCACTCTGATTTGTTTGCAGGCGTCTAGAGTCATTGGGACGGGAACGTTTGGGTGCGGGACTGTTATTGTTGAAGGAGAAGACTTTATTGCAGAGAACGTTACTTTTGAGAACTCTTCTCCTGAGGTATTGTATAAAGTCTCTCTACCTTTATAACATAGTAACTAAAGATTACTCTGAATGTTAATTTCACTTCTTATGCATAGGGATCAGGACAAGCTGTGGCGATTAGAGTCACTGCAGACCGTTGTGCTTTTTATAACTGTCGCTTTCTTGGCTGGCAGGTTCATTTCTTTATTCCATAAACTTCAAATGTTTATGTTTGTCAATATACTTATTCAGGTCTCTTCAATGTATTATTGTGAACCCAATATTCAAGAAATCGCTAGGCCCTTTATATGAGATTATTGAATACGCGGGTGGCAGGCAACTATACCAATTTTTGAGCGCCAAATCTGATTTTAAAAAAAAAAAATTCATTCTGAAAAAATTGTTTTGCCTAGACCAATTTTTAGAACACTGACTGTGGTATCGTAAATAGATTTATTCAGGATGACAAAAAAAAAGGGTTTATTCAGTCATCCTTTTAGCTTATTGGGAAAGGTGAAGTGCAGGGTACTTTATATTTGCATCATGGGAAACAATATTTGAAAGACTGCTATGTGGAGGGAAGTGTGGATTTCATATTTGGAAACAGCACCGCACTCTTGGAACATTGCCATATCCACTGCAAATCTCAGGGTTATATAACAGCACAAAGCCGGAAAACGTGTCAGGAATCTACTGGTTACGTGTTCTTAAGGTTTGTAACGAGTAGTTTGAAATCTGGTATGATTCTACATTTTTTCAAAGGGAACTCAAACTTCTAACATACTATGTTGCAGATGTGTGATCACGGGGAATGGTCAGAGTGGGTATATGTATCTCGGAAGGCCATGGGGACCGTTTGGGAGGGTGGTACTTGCATATACTTACATGGATGCATGTATCAGAAATGATGGTTGGCATAACTGGGGAAACTCAGAGAATGAGAGAAGTGCTTGCCTTTATGAGTACAGGTATATGATATCTGATATCTCTTAAATGTAACAATTTGTAATCAAGAAACAAGAGGTTGGAATAATTGATACTGTTTTTTTTTTAATGTTGAAACATAATTAAGGTGCTTTGGTCCGGGTAGCTGTTCGTCTGGACGTGTTACGTGGTCGAGAGAACTGATGGATGAAGAAGCTGGAAACTTTCTGCATCATAGCTTTGTGGATCCAGATCAGGACCGGCCTTGGTTGTGTCTGAGAATGGGAGTGAAAACACCATATTCTGCGTAGAATACTTGAAAAAGATGTTGTAATTGAACTTTGAATATTATCTTTCATAGTGAATAAGTGCACACATCAAAACCCAAAAAGTTGCAAATTGTCTTTTGATTGTACTACATTGTGTTTAAGCGTTGGTAACAGTTTGTAGTTGTTTTACATTTAGTTTCGGTTTATGTTTAGGTATAATTACATACAGGGTGATTGTGAATAACGAAGTGGGCGTTTGGTCTAGTGGTATGATTCTCGCTTAGGGTGCGAGAGGTCCCGAGTTCAATTCTCGGAACGCCCCTATTTTTTTAAAAAAAATTTCCCTGAATCCCTGACATTGATTATCTTCCTCGGATCAAGGAGTGGTTTCTCTCTTTATTTATCAAAACGTTATACAAAATTAACAGAATCCATGACATAACAACTTAATCATCATTATTTTTATATAACATTCATATTTATTATCAAATAGTACTTCAATTAATTATCTTGTTACTTCAACAAGTAGGGAAAGGAATACCACAAAACCGTAAGGCCACGTGAGCTTCCGGGGAAGTAGCGAACTTTCTTAAAGCTGGATTCTTGATGAAATCACAATAACATGGTTGTTGTGCTTTCAGTGTTCCGCAACACTGTGCAGATGGCTTAGTTTTATAAAATATTTCTGGCCAGCATCCTGTGAGATCAATCGTATTGCAAGGTGGTTTTGTAGATTTTACAACCACTCTTGATTCGATCTGAGCAGGAGATGATACGAGGACTACAATAAAGGTAATGAATACTAGTAGTGTTGTAAACTTCATTTCTTGTCACAGTTTCCAGTACTTCCAATGCTTTTCTTTTTGTTTATTGTTTTTTTCTTCTCTATTGTAAAAAGTACTCTTTGAGATTCTGACTTGTGTTTAACTAGGGATGATGACATTATTATATAGATATATGAACTTATAAATGACAAAACACATGTCAGATTGTGTAATGTGTTGTGGATTCTGTCTTGATTTTTTTTTTCTTTTTTTGATAACAGAATCAAATAAAAGTTAATTACAGAACTAGAATGTTACTCTTAGGCCTGGTGTACGCAACCCATTTTCGGATGCTAGTGGATCTCATATTAATAATTTCAATTTAATTTAGTTAATAATTAAATTGTAATCTAAAAATTTGAAGCTAATCTAATAATGAAATTACATATGTTAAATGGATATTTTATTTGTTTGTTAGGTTTTTTCATATGAGATTACTCTCTACTTTTCTATATTGTTCTCATTCTCTCACTTTTTTTTTTACTAGGAAATCACCCTGCGCGTAAACGCGCGGGTTTACGCGCGGGTTTACGCGCGGGAGAAAGGATGTTTTCTTAAAAGTTTTTTTTTATGTAAATTGTATTTGTTAATTAATCATTTTGAATCATTTAATAACTAATTATTTTGTATGAAGATCAAAACTTAAAAATAATCTTATATAATAGAAGAGTGAAAGTATAATTTGTGTTTGAAAATGTGTAAATTTAAGTGTTATGTGTTTAGCATAACAATATTAAGTAAATTTTAATATTAAAGTCGCAGTCATTTTTTTAATCTTTATATATGAGAAAACAAACTTTTAAAATTTGTTGAACTGATGGAACAGTTTATAAGTTTTAAGATTAAATAATATAATAAGTTTAAAACACTGTAATTAACATGCAAAGAACGACATTTTTTAGAACAATGAGATTCAGTAACTCCAGACAAACTGGGTTAGAAAAATATAAAAAGAATGTACTTTATCAGAAGAAGAATAAGAGATTACAAAAATAATATGTTGTTTTCTTATAGCCAGATTGGTTTAGATATGATAGTTTAGTTTCAACTGAAACTAAACCTATTAATTTATTTTTTTGCACACATCACATTAAATTTTTAAAGATTGTTTAGAACTATATAGTGAATCAAATATTATATTCAAGAGTACTAAGAATCAAACCTATATTAGAAAAAAACACATAAATTTTCTTAAAAAATTATATCTGTAAAATGTTCTATTTATAGTAATATGAAAAGGTACATTGATAGATTATCAAGAGTTGTGTTTTGTTTTAAAATGAATATTTACAAGAGTTGATTATCTTCCTGAGACATTGATTATCTTCCTCTTCCTCATTGTGATTCAGATTCTTTTTATAAATTCTTTAATAGATCCAAAGCAAAAGGTATGACAAACGATATAAAGGATCAAGGAGTGGTTTCAGGAATTTAATTAATATTTATATTTATATTTTAATCTAAAAATTTGAAACTAATCTGATAACGAAATTACATATGTTAAATGAATATTTTATTTGTTTGTTAGGTTTTTCATATAAAAGATTACTCTCTACTTTTCTACATTGTTCTCATTCTCCCATTTTTCTTTTTTTTTTGTTGAAAAATTCATCTAAGAACTTATCAATGAAATGTTTTTAGGTGTTGCCTTTACGGTCCTCAACAATAAATTACATGACATATTTTTCTTTTTTGATAATTGTGAGGATCAAAAAGGTTTCTAGGTCTAAAAAAATAGTTTCACAAGACATTGCATCCAAGTACGGAACTAATCAATCTAAATGACACAGTTACATGGTCAAGACGAATCAAATTCAGGGTGAAACTTCCATCTGGGAACCCCTTACATGATATGCATATTCAGTTAAATATCCAAACATAGCATGACAATTTTCCAAATGATTTTAATTTTTTTTTTTAGTACTAGTCACAGCAAATCTCCCACAAAATGGCATAAATTAAATATTGTATTCGTTAAAAGTTCAGTTGAAAATATTTAATAATATAGTTACAAATGGTCCACCATGCATATTTTCGTAATCTGGCATAATTTAATGCGACTAATCCATATTTTAGCCTTTGATATTATTTTAACCACTCTCTCAATAGTCAATAATCTTTTCTCCTAGTATATATCAATAGTCAATAATCTTTTCTCCTAGTATCTATACTATTATTTAATAGTTGTCATGTTCTGCATAAGTTTAGCTAATTTTGTTTATTTATCATATTTATAATATTATATATAATTTATTTATAAATAAAACGAATTTATATAAATATATCATACTAGGTGATTTTCCCGTGCTCATGCACGGACATAAATATTTATAAAATAAAGATATTATAATAGTTTATTGACATTTACTTTAAATTTTAAATTAATTTATAATTTGTAGATATAATTTATATTAATAATATTATATTAATTTAATTATATATATAATTTTAGATATGTTTATTTTTGTCAGTTTTATTGTTTTACGGTTGATTTAGTTATCATTTGGATATTTTAGATTCTATCTATTTCTTTGAATTCAATTATAATCTTTTTTATCCTAAATATATTAAATTCTTGATTAATTGTCTTATTTGCATTTATGTCGGTTGTTATCTTAGAAATATAAGTATATCTAGTAAGATTATGTATAACTTAAGATTTTTTGTGCTTAGAAAGAAAAAAATAAAAACTAAACTGTCTAATTCTAAATTACATACATAAGTAACTAATACATTTTGGAAGCTTATGAACACATATCAATAGAGTTATATTAAGTTTCACAAACATAAAAACAGAAAATTAAAAATCAAAAGAGTTATTAAGAAAACATATAATTTTAATAATTAAAATATATTATATCTACTTCGTTAAATTATATAGTGTTATGATATTTTAAAATAATTGTACTTATTTAATCAAAAATGTTTATTATTAAAATTTATTTTTAGTTTTGTTTTTAATATCTGTTAAAAAATGCAGTAAAAAATGTTATTCTTTTTGAGAAATTGTATTATATAAGTAAAATAGAATTTATATGTTTTGTTGTATTGTGAGATATTATAGTCAAATAAATATACTAAAAATAAAAAATATATATATATTTCAAAAATACAAATTATAAAAAAATTCAATTAAACATATATCAGTTTATGTTACTTAATTATTTTGTGTAATCATCTAATAAAATAGATAGATATATACCAAAAATAATTACTTTGAATATATATATATATATATATATTATTGTTTAAAATTATTTTTTTTAAAGAAAAAAAATAATTATTTTTCTAAATATCAAGATTAATTCTGTGAATTTTTTTTTATGGAATTACATTATATACAAATATTTTTATTCATCTAAGAAGATATAGATATGGAGTAATTTATTACTTCAAAAGTATATTTTATGTTATTTAAAATATATTTAAATTAATATTACTATTTTGTGAACTTTCCTTTTCTATGAAACCATATTTCTATATACTTATATTTTCGTTTTAAATAGTTTTGTAAACTTTATAAATGTTACCTTTTTATTTTATATTGTTATTGAAAATTTTGAAAAGGAAATAATAATATTTAAATGTATTTTTTAATTCATTAAGGGTATCATAGTAATCAACCATCGTGAAAGTTAACGTGATCGCGACACATAAGAAAGTGACTTCTCAAATAATATTTTCTTTTTCTAATATCAAGATTAGTTGTGTGAATTTTTTTTATGGAATCACATTATATACAAATATTGTTTTTCATCTAAGAAGATATAGATATGAAGTATTTTATTACTTCAAAAGTATATTTTATGTTATTTAAAATATATTTAAATTAAATATTACTATTTTTTGAACTTTCCTTTTCTATGAAACCATATTTCTATATACTTATATTTTCGTTTTAAATAGTTTTGTAAACTTTATAAATGTTACCTTTTTATTTTATATTATTATTTGGAAAATTTTGAAAAGGAAATAATAATATTTAAATGTATTTTTAATTCATTAAGGGTATCATAGTAATCAACCATCGTGAAAGTTAACGTGAGCGCGACACATAAGAAAGTGACTTCTCAAATAATATTATAGAGATTTTAGAAAATAAGATAATTCTTGTGAATTATGTTGTTATCTAGAAATATATTTTAAAAATTATATAATTATCTAGAAATATATTTTTATATATAAAACTTAAAAACATAATTCTTATATATTATGTTCTTATGTTGAAAATATATTTTCCTATTATAAAATTTAAAATTAAGATACAAAAATTATATTATTATTAATAATTAAATTTATATTTTAGAAAATAAGTTTATTCTTATGTATTATGTTGTTATCTTGAAATATATTTTTCTATTATAAAATTTAAAATTAACATATACAAAATCTATACTATTATTTAAGAAGTGAATTTGATGTTTGCTAATTTGTCATATTTTCCATGATTTTAAATAATTTTGATAATTTATCATAATTTATACAATTTTATATATAATTGAATATATATTTAACACAAATTGATATTAATAGTATCAGATTCTTATAAAATAAGATACTTTTTACGTATTAAGTTGATGTCTTGAAAATATATTTTCTATTAAAAATTTAAAATTAAGATATAAAAAGTTGTAGTTATTTTACAATTGAAATAAATTTACACTAATAATATTATAATTTTATACAATAAGGTAATTTTTATGTATTATATTGTTATCTTGAAAATATATATTTATATTATATAATCAAAAGTAAAATAGAAAAATTATCTATTATTAGTTATATATAAATCATCACTCAAGTGACTTTGTTGATTCATTAAGTTTTCCATGATTTTAGGTAATTGTAATTATATGTCATAATTTCTATAATATATATAACTAAAAAAATTATCATATTATATTTTTAAAAAATAAATAACTTATACATTATATTGTTATTTTGAAAATGTGTTTTTCTATTGCAAAATTTTAAATTAATATATAAAAATTATAATTAAA